CAGGAGGCTTATGATTAGACACTGGAACACAGCACAACACAAAACATTCCAGGGGTTAGGCTTGCCAGAAGCAACAGTCAAAAGCTTCTGCCTCACTTCTGCCTCCAAAACCTTCTCCCAGTGAATCTAATTGGCAGAGGCAGTCTTGCATACAGAACCCTGGCTGCAAGGAAGTCTGGGTAATGTAGTTTTTAGGTGTCCTACCTCTGCAAACCAGGATACACCAGGAGGACCCAGGTTGAAATGGTGAGCACCAGTCTACTCTATCCACGACAGAAAGTAATTCACTACCATTTTCATTCTGATTTCAGGTGTTAGCTCCCAGTCAATATAAACTTCAAACAACCAGTACTCTCAGAATCCAGTGAAAATCTAATCTGGGGGCCTTGATTGGAAGCCAGAGTGAACTCCAATGGAAAACAGAAACTAGCATTATTTAACACTGATAATTCCTTGTGGAAAAGAATGAAATTGGCCTCAGCAGGCAGAGAATGACCTGATCTGACCCAAGGAGATGGCTATCTCAGTCAGACTGAGCCCTCGGGTCCTAAAGCCCCTTTATCTCTCCCCACCACCTCCACCTTTCCCAGCATCTGACCCCTCTCAGGAGGCAGCCTAGAGTACCGGTTAACATAATAATCTATTTGTGAAGATTGGAACTGTGCCTTCTGCACGTTTCCATTGTCACCACCATTTGGCGGTTATCTCCATGAATGTTTATGGAGGAGAAAAGGACAGACAAGAAAACAAGGAGGTCACTATTTGAGTTGCTGGTAACCCAGGATCAGAGAGCAATGTCCCTCGCCCACTGGAGCAGAAAGCTAGAAAGACACAGGCATAAATTCGGTCGAGTTTGGCAGTTCCCTGGAAAGTAAAGAATAATGTAGACACCCTAAGTGGGGGGATACCGGCTGTGGGAGCACGGAAGACCCCTCCAGGGCGTGTTGTCAGAGCAGCTGCGCGGTGGCGGGGGATGGGGGCGTCCAGGGGCAAATCAAAAGAACACTGGAGATAAGAGGACTCCACTAGGTGGTAGGTTCTGGGCGGGGACTGGTCCCAGCCCCCCTCCTGGAGCCCTCACCAAGCCGCCAAGCAGCAGGCACCCCCAACTCCCGCTCCAGCGCCCGACCGCCCGCCCACCCGCCGGAGCAAGCGCGGCCCCT